GTGATTTCATAACCTGACGTACACGCCCACAAGCTTACATCTCATCTTATCAATCATAGTGGCTCATTAAGCCGTGATCATTCGGATTTAGGACCGATATTGTGCGTTGACGTTAACACACACATATATATATACGCACACACACATACATACATGCAATCAACTAAAATTACCACACTCAATATGAAGTATAATTAGCCAAACCACTATATATCCATCCAACCTCGAGATAACCATTCCGCCCATTCACTACTTTCAGCGGTGTGAGTAGTGCAAAAAAACAAAAATCGCGATAATCCCCAAATCCGTATTTCATGGTAGCAGGCGAAAGCGGACGGCACTTTTTCGTGGGGCCAGCATGTGATTTCGATTTTTAGTGATGAGTATAATCAAGAGATAAGATAGAGCCGGACAGTCCTCTCGACTTAGTGTATGTTAGCCCGAGACTTTTACAATAGTGAGTTCCAGCTCTGATGAGATCCATCAAATGATGCATGAAAGGTCAGCCAGATTTCACCAGAAACGAGAGAGAATGTCTCGTGGACGACGTCAACTTGAACGTCGTATCGAAGCCAGGAGGCTGCAGTACAGCGTGAATCAGCCATCGTCTTCTTCGAATCTCTTCTCATGCACTTTCATACAAAATGAAGTTTCACGTGACATGATACAGGCCTGGAGATTGAATTTTCTCACAGTCAAACGACTATGTCTCTTAGTTCCACTCAATTTCACCCTTAGCCTTGCTTACAAAAAGGTATTCCCATCCGGGCAGAAGTGGACTCCAGCTTCGAACTCGCCTAAACCAGTCTCATCCGTACCCCCAGCCGTACTCGAACCAGTTTTGAGTTCGTGTATCATGTCAATTCGACACTACGCCACATTACCACGTGTCCCTTCGGCTCATAGACTATTAGTGCAAAGTAGCTTTTGCTTGACTTATTTCCCTTTATAAGTAGTACATCACCAAAAAATAGGCTAGGCTGAATGCATCTCACAGTCTAGAGAAACTAAATCTTAAATGAAAAAATTACTTTTCTTTACTTTGTGAATTTATTTTTTTCGGTTGGCTCACACAAAAGAAAGAGTGAATGGCAAATGCGTGTGTTTGTGTTTGGCCTTAGAATTCTCTACAAACGCCTACGAACTGGTGCCAAGCCGACAGCTTTAGGGCACCGAAAGCCTAATTTCAGCGGATCGACCAACCGCCAGCGGATGCACCGCCAGGCATGGAAGTGTAGTTGCCGCATCACGTGATTCTACGTTTCTGGGGCCCTGTGCTCTTCGTTATCGCGTCTCAGTTCGTGACCAAGCCGATGCGGAAAGTAGCCTTCACTCCAGACTGGAAACTATCTTTTAAATTGTCTCTCACTCTCTCTCTCTCCTCGGGAATGAATCGGTGCCTTGACGACCGACATGGCACTTGGCAACCAAACCCCGCCAGGGTGTTCGGCCGCAGCTCCGGGTGGCTGATCTTTTGGACTTTTGTCTGTGGCACAACTTGCACGGGCGGTGTGCTGACTGGCCGTTGTCGGGGCGCACGCAACCGTGCTCGTCGGCCCCGCCCTGATGGCCGAGCGGAGGAGCCGTGGGCCTGCAGGCTCTTCTGCTTTCGCCTAGTGACCAAATTAGCAATTCCAATTAACCCACAATGGCGAGGGCAGATGGGCAGTTGCCGGCCGACTCGATTGGTCGTCAATCCGCTTCTGATACAGCCTGTGGAGAAGGGTGGAGAAGTGCAGGCTTCGGCGTACAAGTCGGCTGGACACAAAGTACACATGACTTTCGCCACTAAAGCTACCGCATGAATGCGGCTTTGATGAACAAGCTGAACTTATTCGCCACGCGCAGGCTTGGATTTTCGGTAGCCAAGGCTACATCTAAAGACGGGCGGCCTTCAGTCAGGCAAAATGAAGCCTACAGACACGTTGGCAAGTTCGGTACATCAGCCGAATACGGATCTGCCAAGCGCTCAAATAGGCCAAACACTACAGACACACACACACACACACACACACGTATATATGTATATATATATATATATATATTCATATATGCACATACGCAATCTTAAATACTACACCACGGCAATGTCTACTTGCTAAACGGGGCAGAA